TAGATCAGCTTAATAAAAATAATTCCACATGGATTTTTAAGTCACTGTTCAAGATGAAAAGAGAAGACTGAATGACTTAAAATGGCATGGCAAAGAGAGTCCAAACCAGTTGCAATGCATATTTAAGACCTCTCTCAAAGGGCTTATCTTTTATATAAAAGAATAATTGAAAAATATCAAAGTGGAACCAAATAGCTCCTATTTCAGTTTGCAGACTCAGTATGTAGTTTCAAAAATACATTAACAATCTGGATCCTTTTCTCCAGGCACGTACGTGAAATATCATTTGGCATATGGGAGTTATTCCCATAAAGATGAGTCGGATAATAAGCAAATGATCATTACCTCACATTATATGAAATGGAAAGAAGCCATTAATGCAGCATTAAGGGCATAAACTTCATACATTTGGAAGCCCACAAAATAAAACATTAGTTCTCAAAGCATTATCTCATCTATACTGCCACATTAACTGTGTACTCTAAAAATTTTTAACAAGTATTATAATTTGTATGAAATACAGAACAGTTAAGCTTCCTATTTTCATGTTAACTTGTAAATTTCTCAGTTTACTTACTGGCCAAGAGGTTTCTAAAGCCAAAGCTCAAAAGGACCCCGTGTGTGTCTAGATCTTCCAACGTTCTGAGCATGCTCCTCAGAGACCTACCTCAGAGTTCCCAGGCTCACACCCAGCTAAGGGCCACACTGGAAAATATTCAACTGAAACTCCCCCACATTATTCTTTTGGGGACTTTACGAACCATATATTTTATGTAAGCCAAATAAGGTCTACTTTAAAAAGCACTGGTGAGGAAACCATAGAAGTTCAGGAAACCATAGAAGTTCAGGAAACCATAGAAGTTCAGGAGATTCTAGAGCTCTAGAATTTCTATTAGTTCTAGAGATTCTAGAGCTCTTTAAACATTCACTTTTATAAACACTACCTCTCTTCATGCTATTTTGAAAAGGATACTATGCAAGCAGAGCTTCTCAACTACCCTTACTGTTCCATTCATGGTATGTATACACATTGGTATATGTTAATAAAAACCGAGAATATCATGACAAATACTCATAAATGAATATAAAGATGTATATAGTACATATAATTAACACATAATATATATTCTCATGTATTTCTAAAATTCATCAACAGGAACTAAGCACATATACTGTGTTCATACACTAATAAAAGTCATTGACTAGTTCCTAAGTACTTACTTGATAAGGTCAAAATTCATGTGCTTATTATGTGTCAGGCAGCTCTAATCAGTAAAAATCTTAAGTTCCTGAGTAAGACAGGAGCCCTGTGCCAGGGTAGTGACACACACCTGTAATCCAGGGGCTGAGGTAGGAGATTTGCAAGTTCAAAGCCAACCTCAGCAAAAGCAAGGTACTAAGCAACTCAGTGAGACCTCGTCTCTAAATAGATAATAGAGCTGGGGAGGTGGCTCAGTGATCAAGTGCCCTGAGTTCAACCTCCAGTACCAGAAAAAAAAAAAGACAGGAGCCCTGACTTCAAAGAACTTAGTCTGAGAATCAGACAAGCAAATCAACAATTAAAGACTAAGTTATTTGAGATATCAGCACAAACAAGTACCAGAGAAACAAGAGGTATAAATGGTGAAGGTGGCTTCCCAAAAGAGCTGATGCTTGACCCAACGTGTACAGGGCCGATATATAGTGCAAGGAACCACCTGTAACAAGGCACAAAAAGCACAACGGGAATGGAAAACTTGACATGCGAACACTACAACACAGAACACAAGGCAGAGGACTCACAGAAGATAGGCCGATTGTGAAGGGTCTTACATCCTCGATTAGGAAATATGAATTGTATTCCACAGTCAATATCAAACAATTGATATTTTAGGTAGAATCATAGTAACAGTAGTTTAGTATCTCCTAAGTACTTATGCATCAGGCATTGTGAGAATTTTCATATTCTTGTATTTTTTATTTTCTCCACAACTCAATCCATAAAATTATGTGAACATTACAGATAAGACTGAGGTTCACAGAATGTGTCAGCTTTCCATCACTGACACAATAATGAGACAATTTATGAGAAAAGATTTTTGAGTCATTGTTTCAGAGGTTTCACCCATGGTCACTTGGCCCCGTTACTTTGGGTCTCTGGTGAGGCAGAACATGGTGGGGAGCATGTAGGTGACAGAGCCAAGCCGCTCACCTCATGGAAGCCAAGCAGCGAAATAAAGGGACCAGGGACCCAATATCCCCTACTCAGGCACACCCCCAATGATCTAACTCCCTCCCACTAGAACCCACCTCTTCAAGGAATAGCGCCTCCCAATAGGCTGATGACCAAACCTCGACTATGAAACTTTGGGGGACATTTAAGTTCCAAATCATATCAGAGAGGTAGAGTTACTTGACAAAGTTACATATATAGGAGGCAGTACAGCCAAACATAAGAAATAACCTGATAGAATCCTACTTTTAAAATGATCAGTTTGAGGCTAAGAGCTCAATGGTAGAGGGCCTGCTTAGCTTGCAAATAGCCCTGGATTTGATCCCCCAGCAACCCCCAAGGGGAAGGGGAAAAAAAAAAAACCACCTTGTCAAGGAGTGTAAAGTGTGAATTAAGAGAAGGGCACAGAGAAGGAAACCACCAGCCAAGTGTTGCAAGAAACCGAGTAAGGTGTTAAGAACCTGAACCAGGACTGATAAAGGGCAGAAATGGGAGACAAGAACTAATTCACCAGATCCCAGGGCTCTGTAAAGCCCAATTCTTCTCCACTGCAGCACTTAGTACAATGTCAATGAAGTATTGTCCTCTTCTCTCTTCCCCGACAGACTAAACTCAAATCTAGGAACCTATATCATAATCTCCATTTACACATTTAGTACCCAAGACAGTGCCTGGCACATAGAATTTATGGAGAAAAAAGAAAATTTCTAGTTTTCTGGCTTGGGCAACCTAAGGATAATGGTACTACTGACCATCTAGGGAATAGAGGAGGAAAAAAAAACAGATTATAAGAGGAGATATACATTTATATAAATATATAGGAAGTGTTACATTTGCTACTGTTACAACATACACTATGTATAAAAATAACTCCATAGAAACACTACTTTATCCACTAATATATATGAAATTGCATTAGAATGATAACTGACATACTAGTAGAATTTCATGGTTTATGGAAATTCAGTTTGTTCTTGTTTTTAAATATTCGATCTTTAATTTCCTGAACACACTTAGGTGGCTGAGAAGGACAAAAGTAAGAAAACAGGACCTAGGCTACCAGTGGTACATTTGACAACAGCTTAACACCACTATTCCCACACATAGGGGAATCCTCTATTAGCACCACTGTATAGCTTCCAAAACCACTGATGTTCCCTCCTCCTCATTCTTCCACTGTCAAAGACTCTTCGTATCCTAATATTGTTTTAAGATAAAATATAGAAAATGCATGTAAAATACTACATAGCCTGGCAAACAGTAAGACCATGTTTGTCATGAACAAGATGACCGATTATCACCAATTCCTACAGGTATGGCACTATTAAACTGACACCAGATCTGACAAGGACCACAGGTCCTCTAAATAAAACATAGGTAAAGGACGCATTTACCTAATCAATTATTTTCCTAGTAATGTTTCCTCTGCCTTTTCATGCACTGCTTCTGCAAACAAACCCAAACCACTATCTCCATCTTCTGCTGACCTCTCATTCTCATATGTATGTGTTTGCAAATTGGCTTTATTTTTTAAATTTTTACTGATGCATTATAATTATACATAATAGGATTCATTATGCCATATTTGTACATGCACATAATTTGATCAATGTCATTACCCAGTATCTTCCCTATCTCCTCCTCCTCCTTCCTCCTAGTCTGCTTCCTCTATTTCAATTAATGCATTATAGTTACATATATAAGCAGGATTCACTGGTATATTCGTGCATGGACTTAGCATAATTTGGTAGATTTGTTCCCCAGTACTTCCTTGTGTCCTCCCCTCTTCCTCCCTTCTACTGCTCTCCCTTCTATTTTCATGAGATTCCTCCACCTACCCTCCCCCGCCACCGGCTTTCTTTTATTTTCTGTTTTTCTCTCTAGCTCCCACCTGTGAGAACACATTCAACCCTGGACTTTGAGTCAGGCTTTTTCCACTTACGAATCTGTTCTCCAGTTCCATCTATTTTCCTGCAAGTGCCATAATTTCATTCTTATGGTTGAATAAAATTCCATCTTGTATGTATACAATATTTTATTTATCCATCAACAGGCACCTAGGCTGGTTCTATAACTTGGCTATTATAACTTGGCTATTATGAATTGGATAGCTATAAACGTTGGAAAGTATGTGTCACTATAATATACTGATTTTAATTCTTTGATAAATACCAAGAAATGGAATAGAATGATAATACGATGGTTTCCTTCCTTGAACTGAGGAATCTCATACTGCTCTTTCTAAAGTGGTTTTATTAACTTGAACTGACTTCTTAAAATTGATTTCCAAAAATCACTTTCTCACTTATCTCTCACCCATTAAAAACTCACTGTAAACCGTTTCCTTACTAGATTCGTCTGTTTCTAGTTAAATATTTGATTGCTTCAGAGGACTATACCTTCTTGCTGACAATCATACGTCAAGTACCAATAAAACACTTCATGCACATAAATTGTATTCAGTCAATTTTTGCTGAAATGTTTCTAAGAATGATTAAGTCAGACTTTTTTCTTTTTACTAGTCTGTATCTGACCAACTCTTGCCATAAATGTTTCTTCAGTGATCCAAAATAAAAAGCTACACTTAAATAAGTCAGTTTAGTGACAGTTTAAATTTCAAATTCTTCTAAAACACATCTTAAAGCAAAATATTTAAGGCATATAAACAATTACAATTTTAATTGTTTCAATAGTCATAATAATCCTTGTTAATATTTAGTATCTATTCTAAGTTTAATAAACAAATTGTAGATTTAAAATTTTCGTTTTATATCTTGTAAATTCTTACCTTGGCATTTCCCAATAATGGAGGTAAAGTCATCTTTGGCAGATCTGTAAAATATGTGCAAAGATCAAGTTTTATCCTTAAATACTACTGTGTAAGTCTATAAAATACTAGATATTATACACTTCTATATCCAACACTGAATCACTCCTTTCATAGAGATAGTCTCATGAGGCATAACACTTTCATTAGACACAGTATTTTCTTCCAACCTTCTTATGAAATCAGAAGCACAAATACAATGATATAACACAATGAGTTTAAGCATGCTCTTTTAATGTGATAGAAAAATCTGGCCCCCATTCCCAAAGGTTCTGATTCATTAGATCAGGGCTGAGCAAGGTGGTGCACACTTATAATCCCAGCTACACAGGAGGATGAGGCAGGACGATGGCAAATTTGAGACCAGGCTGAACAATTTAGTGAAACCCTGACTCAAAATAAAAAGTGCTGGGAGTATAGCTTGTAGTTGAGTGTACAGCACACTCCAGGCCCCAAGTTCAATCTATAGAGCCAAGGGGTGGGGGAGGGGGGGAATGCATATGTATAGGATGGGACCCAACAATACCTTTTAAAGTTTCACAGATTGATCCTAGTTAAGAATCACTACTTTCTATCGTACTACAAATTTTGATCATGAAAGAAAAAGTCTTATTTTAATAAATCAAATAGCCCAAACAAGTCACCATATTTAAACCAGTGACATATTTAAATCTGATCTTGAAATAGAGTACTATAATTATAAAATATGTTCAAAAGTAAGGCTAAATCTAGAAAATTTACTAAAAATCACCCAAAACTTTCATGTCTTTAGCATCTGACCCAGTTCCACTTCTACAAAGTTATCTCTGGGAATAACTACAGATATATACAAGTGTTGAGAAAATTAATGCAGTCTAATTTATAAAAGAAAAATACACCCAGAAGATTAAATTTTACTATGTACATGCACGAAGTATTATGCAATTACATAAGTGATATGGAAAGATGTTGACATTTATTTCTGAATAGCCTTTTAAAATTAATATCAAGAATGAAAATTAAGTTTACAGATTGCAGAAGCAATTCATCAGTCACTATAAAACAGAAATATACAACATTATTCCACTAAACAAATACAAATAGAAAAGGTTCAAAGGATATACAACAAAATAGTAATAGACAATTTTGGCTAGTAGAGTAGGTAATTTGTAGTTCTTTCTACTTAACTCTATTTTCTACTATCTTTAATATAATCACTAACAGTTGCTGGGGAAGAAAAGGCAGGAAGATATAATCTGGTTTTGTTAAGCCTTAATAGAACTTATTCACCTAAAATAGTTAAGCAAATCCTGGGGATGAGAGAATTTATATGCTTTTTTCCTGTAAGCATTCCTTATTTTAATGTGTTTTGTTGTGTTCTATGATAGTTTCCAATTAGTTCCTATTTTATAACAGCCCATAATCATAATTATTTCACTACTTAGGAAATAAGGAAACACATATTAACCAATTCTAATCTATAGCTGCTGATAAGTTACAAATTAAAGAAGCAATTCACAAACAATTGTTTCACTATCCTATCCATGGGCAGCCCCACAAGTAAGCAAGTGTGTCATACTAGAACAAATGATTAGTCATTTACCATGACCACAAGAATAAAACTGGGAACAGCAACTCAAGTTCAAATGCAAAAGACAGCGCGCGCTCTCTCCAAAATTAAACTTTTATAGCTTTTCATTTTTTCCCCTCAAAATCCATTTCTTTATAACTACTTCCTAATACCAAATAATGCTGAGATACTAAGAATATCTTTCATATTCTAATCCAAGCAACAAATGTTTATTAAATACCTATTGAGTACTAACTGCCATTACTACTAAGTCAATCTTGTGTTGCACACGTCCTTTACTATGGCAGAAAGGATGAATATGGAAAATAACAAGTGACCTTAAAATTCAAGGATAAGCTCTAGTCATAAGAATTTATTTTTTGAATCTTGCCCTTTTTCTTTGCTGATCATTCCACATCTTGCTCAAACACACCTGCTTTTCGGTTACTGCAGAGTCAGTCTATATGCTCCTGTATTTAGTCAACAAAAACAAATGAATGCCAACTGAGCAATGCAAGGCATAGGTGGCTATGCCCTATAATGCCTTCTCAGCCTGATTCCCCTATTCCACTTGCAAACACCCAGTGCTTATTCACCAAACTATTAATCCCTAGGTATGTATATTGAAATACCAGCTGGGAAAAACATAGGAGTCTCCTGCAAGGAGCACATAACTGGAGCTACACACTCCAAATCCCATCTGTCCCAAGTTCCTGGTAAATGGAACACACTGAAGTGCAAAGCACTAGTCTAATATAATGGGGAAACATACAAGCATTCTTGGCTAAGCATGACGTAAGTGAAACGTAATATAGGTTTGTGGCTAAGAGCATAAACAGTGAAACTAAAAGCCTACTGCAAATCCTTAGGGAGGTTATTCAACTATATCATGCCCACTTTATTATAGAAATAAGGGAAAATAGCAATAACTACAGCCTCACAAGGGATTCTACCAAGATTAAATGAGTAAACATGCATAAAGCATTTCTGATTGTGCCCACTATTAGCATCTTATTAAAAATAGATAAAAGTTATCATAGGTTCCTAAAGGATAGATGATTAACCAATATATGGGAAGAGGAGACTAATAAAGGGTATATTATCAAAGGCTTCCTAGTGGAGTTAACTTTTCACCATGTAAGCCTCAAGACATAATATACGTACGTTACAAAACATTTTCAAATTATCTTTTCATCCATGAAATCATTGGTCAAATGGTCCCTTCCCAAGCTTATTATCTTGACCACACACATGCACACCCAGACTAACACCTAAAATCATTTCATTGTTTTCCTTTCATGGAAAAGTGGAAATAAGTCTGGCCTACTAACTTATTTTTAAGTGAGTCACACTATGAGCAAGCAAATTTCTCTAAAAAAACACATTATTGCAACAAATGGAATAAGAGGTGTTAGTCCATTTCTATGAACAATTTAAATTCAAACACTGTGCTGATTTGATGTTTAATGATGCTGTCAAAGGAATCACAGGCATGGTGGCACACGCTTGCAATCCTACTGGGTAGGGAGGCCAAGGTAGGAGGATTCCAAGTTCAAAGCCAGCCTCAACTTATCGAGGCCCTCAGCAACTTGGTGAGACCCCATCTCAAAATAAAGGGCTGAGGACATAGTTCAGTGGTTTAGCACACTTGAATTCAATCCCTGGTACAAACACCACTCGCACACACCTGCCCATAAAGTCGAATCAAGTTAATTTATTTTTGAATGGCTGTCATCACTGTCCATCATTACTATTCCTGATGGTTTTAGAAGGGATAAGAAAGCCTTCCCAGTTGAAGCCAATGCCCAGGTGGGGACAGATCTTCTGTTTTCTATCCCTACCCCCTAAATTTGAAGAGTCCAGTTCTGCCCGAATACATGAAAGAAAGAAAAAACTGATAACTGAATGATTATTAATAATAATCACTTTTCTTAATGAAGCAGCAGGAAAATCCTCTGACTAGCATCTAGACCTAAACATCTTGAAAGTTTTGTTTTCTTTTCAAGAACCAAGAAAGAATTAGGGCTTTCCTAGAAAAAAGTAACCCTCAATTTTAGAGTTGCCACACATTTAATTTGCTGCTGGAAATTTCCCAAAGAACTAGTTTTTCTAAATTAGTTGTGATTCTTTTACAATTAATGTAATATTTTAAAATAAAATAACAAGAAAACCCAACTTAGAGAACTCTTTCATTGTTTGATTTCAAGTTATGTGTAACCTTGGTCTTTCACAAACCCAAATTCAATCTACAGCTTGTGCCAGCAGAACAAAGCTGTCCCCACTCTGACACCTTCCTGAGCATCTCCGATAGAGCAGTAACTAGTCAAACAAGGGTGATTTCCAGAGTCTAGAAAATGAGACATTTACTGTGAATGTAAAACTCAGGAGACTGCATAGTGGCCTGGGGAAGTCAAAATATGAGTGAACTACTCTTAGAAAGCATCACTCATAAGTTGGCATTCAATACTTCACAAAATTTAAGTGACTTAATTGTAAAGTCCTTATGAATATTCCTCACTTAAAAAGACTAAAAATCTTAGCTCTTATTTCTCAAGTAAAATTTTACTCAAGGAAATTTTACATATGAATACTATTAACAATTACCTTATCTCTACACACTGATCTTGAACAGCAGCCAAAAGCTTCCCATTGCTTTCATGAAAGAATAAAGAAAATATGAATATTTGTCAGCCTTCAACAGAATTATTTTAACTTAAATCATTAATTTTTTTCCTATAATTATTCATCTTTTGACCTTACAATGAGTAAATAGGTACAAAAGCAGAGAAAATTATTCCATACAGCTCGAATTAACATTTAAATAATACTGATCATAGGTCACAAAGGGAATTTATATATCATAAAAAATCAAGAGTGAAAGCCATAGAACCCTAAAATTAATGTCAACAATGAAATTTGAGAGCTAATACAGATATAAAAACATGTAAATTTTATACATCTTACCTTGCAAGTACCAAATGCCAGTTTATCTGTTTATTAACCAATCGAACCAGTCCATCAGGGAGCAAAAAGGGTGCGGGACTGAAATCACAACACATCAGTTACTTAAAATCAAAACTAGGTAAATATTAATACACAGGCTTTTAAAAAGAATTTTTTCCATCAGAACATAAAATTGGAATATCAACACAAAACCAAAAGTTACTAATTGATACCTGAAACTTGACTATATTTTATATACATATATATATTTCTCCATTTCCAGAAAACATGGTGTGTGTTCAAAGATACAGATCTCACCCTTTCCAGAAAAAATGTTATCTAGAATACCAATAAAAGAGCAGAGTGTGTGTGTGAGTTTATGCCAAATCCTTTCTGCTGTGACAACCTAGAAATTCTGGCTCAACAAAAACAAATTCCAAGATAGAGTTAAATTCACCATAGAAAGATAAATTTCCAAGTAGTAACAATGAAAAGATACCTGAAAGCTAGAACTGGTCAAGGGAAAAAGATGAGAACCCCAAACAGGATTTGCTATACAGAATAGGAAACAAGCAACTAGATCAGAGAGGACAGGAGTTAGAAGAGAGATGCACACTGCTCAAGTGTATGTTCTAGCAATGAAAGAATAAGGGCCCAAAAACTAATGATTCTCTTCTGCCTGGAACTCTAGTCTGTGGAAGACGAGTATGAAATCTATCAAAAATCAAAAGCCCCAAGCTGGGGCTAAAACTCGGTGGTAGAGCTTTTGCCTAGCATGTGCAAGCCCTGGGCTTGATCACCACCATCAAAAAATTTTAATAAGTTTAATAAAAGTTCAAGCCTACATTAAGTGCAAGATCAGACTACAGTTTCACAATACTCATGAGATACAGAAATCCCCAAGCATAAGTTCACTATAAAACCATTCACAAAAGACATGAAGAAATTATCCACAACCAATGAATTAAACAAATGAGGGATACCTGAAGAAAGACAATAGAAAATTTCTGCTGAAACAATAAGTTTTAGAGAAAAATGAATGTTGTGTTATTAAAATGTTGAACTGAAAAAAATTGCAGGAAAAACAAGGAAATCAGAAAATACAAAATTGTATTTTTAGACTAGAATATATATTTGGTGTTATTTATGCTCATTTTTAATATAAAGACAGGAAATATACATGAAATGTGAATATGAACACCATCTACACAGGATAATTTTCTCTTGGAGGGACGGAAAAGGAAAGACATGGGGTAAGGACTTGAAATGTGACATTTTGTATAGAGCAAAAGGAATCTGAAATATGGCAGAGTAGCAACAACTGCTTTAATTCAAATGTAGATACAAATCAAACATGTTTATTATATTGTATAGAATTCTGTATTAATATTTTTAAATTAAATGGAAAAAAATTTTTAAGGAAAACTATACTTTTAATATTAGCTCCCAAACCTTCAGGTTTAATGATCATAAGCTCAAGAGCACTAATTGAAATACAATCTTTTTGAAAATAAGATGAGGAAGATAAAAACTTCATAATATAGGTTGTGAATGCATTATGATCAACATGGCTGGTATGGTTTAGACATGAGGTGTTCCCCAAAAGCTCATGTGTAAGACAATACAAGAAAGTTGAGATGAGATTATCAAATTATGAGAACCTTGATCTAATCAGTACATTAATCCACTTGACTGCATTAACTGGCTGGTAACTGTAGGCAGGTAAGTTGTGGCTGGAGGCGGTGGGCTCTGGGGGCTTATCTTTGGGGTATATATTTTGTGAGCCCAGTTTAGTCACTGCTTCCTGGTACCATGTCCTGAGCACTTTCCTCTGCCATATTTTTTTCTCCATGATGTCCTGCCTTACCTTGGGCACTGAGGAATAAAGTCTGCTATCTATGGATTAAAACCTCTGAAACAGCCGCAAATTAAGTTTTTCCTCTTTAGTTCTCATCTTTTAGCCATAGCAGCAAAAAAAAAGCTGACTAAAACATTGACCAGTTTAAGGAAAAGGACTTTCCATGAGAAGAGGAGACAGATACCTACTGATACCTGATCTGAAGGTAAGGTAATCACATAAGGATTGCATCAGAGTGAACTTTGAGTCCTCAAAAAATGTAATCAGCAATATAAGTAGACATTTTCTGCCTACTCTGTCCAGGGTGTTCAGGATACCTTCATATTCTCCCGTTTACCTACTTTTCCTTCCTCCTCACTCATCTCTACCCTATCATATTCCACATGCTCAAAGAAACAAGTTTAAAGAAACCTATATAAATTTGCATGTATATATACATATAGATGTGCCCATGCACGCGCACACACACACCAATCCATAGAGTGCTTAAAAAAACCTGGAGGAAGTCCTAGAGAAGAGCAAAGGTCTCTTATGCAAGTATATTATCTCTGGAGCTTTCAAGATGAGGAAAAGGCAATCTGTAATAATTCTATAAACAAGTTCCACATATTTCTAGAAGTAGAATTACAGCCTTCGAGATTACTTCTTCATTCCTTTTAAAGTTAAAAAAAGTCAACACTACATAAGAATTAAAAAGTACACAAGAACTGACACCTAAAAAACATTCTGATATATAGCAACTGAATATTAACATGGGAGAGTGGATCTAACAATAACTTTTTAAAGATGCAAGCCACACATCCACCCTGTGTGTTCAAGATAATGCTGAGGACACACAGATGAAGCAAAAGTAATGAGATTCTTAATGACTAAGGAAACAAAAATTTCAAGTCTATCCTCACAATTTATGCCAAAATATTAGAAATGTACACTTTTTAAAATTGGTCACCTTAATGTCAACATTAATATCATGATCTGGAGTTTATTTATTAACATTTAAGTCAGATAATGTACGTATTTGATGTCCATACTGTTTCTCTGTAGAACTGAAGTCTCACCTGTACCAGATGTATTGGCGTAAAAATAGTAAATGATCTGGAATAAAAAAGCCAAATATAAGTCAATTGTCCTTTAATAATCATTTTCAAATTAGGTTTACAGGTGACAAGTCTAAAAGGTACTACAGTCCGAGTCATCACAAAAAATATTGAGAACATAATTCTTAAGATGAAAATAACCTAATACACAGTTTTAATAGAATTTAATGTGAACAAGTATGATTCAAGTTTGTGTATTATTCAAGACTTCAAAGTACTACCTAACAAAAAAGTGGTAAGAAATAAAATCTAAGAAGCTTCAATGAAACCATGACTAGAAGTCATAGAAATTGACCTTTAAAATCAGGTAAACTATTTGTATAAAAATTAAACCAAAGACACCAATTCACACTTTCTTTATAACAAAGATAAATACTAAAATGAGGAAGCCATTGGGCAGGGGGGAGGGGTTCTAATACAGTACTACATGATTTATGTTTTTAAAAATACCTATGTGTGATATATACATGTATGAATGTATGCAGCTAGGTGTGTATCAATAGAAAAAAGTCTGAAGACTAAGATTATCTCTGAGTTGTAAAGAAAAAATATTCTAATTTGTGATTACCTGTATTTTCTAAATTTTCTACAATAAGTTTTTACTATTGTACATGTTTTCTAAAATTTCAAAGCATATGAGATAATGAAAATTCAATGTTACAGCTCCTTGTATAAGATAAAGATAAAATTATAGATAAAATTATAATTTCAACCACTCAACACTTTTGAAACAATCTTCTTATAAGGAGCTCAAACCTCCCAAAAAATAAAAATGGACTTTGGAGGCAGAATGGTCACATCAAAAAGAAAAACTCAAGCAAATTTCCTCAGCTGAAAACAAAGGAATAACAGCACCTCCCCTCTACTCTGGTAAAAGGGATGTTATTTAATGAAAGTCTCACAGTCCACTCAGTAAGGATAGCACTCAATTCTTTTTCAGACTCTTATTAACTCACATGTAAAGGCTGTCAGTAGTGGCATGAACAGATATTTTTGACCAGTTATATCTGAATCATTTTTAAAGTAGTTTTCCAACCTTTTCCCCTTCAACATCCATAGTCTCTCCAAGACTCACACCAGGTTGGATTTCTTCATTCCTTATAGAATACATCCGCAGTAGTTAAAACTAGGGTACACCCTCACCCTACACTGCATTAAAGACATAAGTGTGGAAATACATGTATATGCATCTGCATATAAAATTAAACTCATAACATGTATGTCACTTCCATCATCTTCCACATCAATAGTCTAAAGAACACATTTTAAAACACCCAAGCTTTCTAAAATAGCAGTTGTAAATAAAATGGGGGAAAATTAACTATTACATATAGAAAAATAAATAAGCTATATTTACCTCTGATTGCTTTTGTGATAAACGATGCTCCATGCTTTCGGTTACCTCTAGGCTACAATTTGAAAAACAAATCCTTACATTTGAAAGTGTTTCAGTAATACTTGTACAACTTGTCAACTTATACTTAACTAATGCTCAGAATTAACAATATTCAAAACCTAGAAATTGACAGAAAAGTATTATCAGGACTGGCTACAGTTGGAATAAAGGTGAGCCTGGCAGTAATAAGCACATGTCAACTTGAACCTTGCACAAGAGCACAAGAGCACAAGAACTGAGGCTGCAAACTTTCCAAATAAAAACACAAATTGAAGACAAGAGAAATCAAGGGCAAAGAATGTGGCTGCTGGTTCAGGATAATCTATGTGAGTGGGCTGCAGAAACCTAAAATAAGGTTTGCTTATAGGAAAAGTGATCATATGGATTAGTAAACTCATCCCTCAAGGCAACACTGAATATCTCTTCTATGTCCATAAAGGCAATGCTACTAACAAAACAGACATAACTGCTATATTGAATAATTCCATTCTGTAAGTATAAACTGAACACTACTGAATGTTCATTAAACAGGTATTATATGTGAGTAAAATGCACTGAAGGGCTGTCAAGAAAATGTGAAGACAATATTAAGTGCAGATAATATTTTTAAGAATATATAAACATTATTTGACTCAACACAGGTGATCATCAAGACACAATTTGTCCCCACGGAGAGATGAATCTGATGCAGTGGCCCTCTAAGAGCTTATGGTTCAGCTGCTGACATCAACAGAATCCCCAAAAAAGGCAGCAAAGCGCTTCTAAAGTTTCAAGTTGCTGCTGTGCTTATTTTTCTAAATCAACTTATAATTATTCTGAACATTACTATAATTAACCACCAGTATTAAGGAGTAGAAACAGCCTGTAGAACGCAAAAGGTAGCCACCTGTTAAGTACTTTGTAGGTTACACAGCTAGCCTGTTATTCAGAACAAATGGAAACATACCAGAAAAACTATCTGCAGAATTTTGCCTCCCTACAAAATGCATTAAGCAGAAACTGCAGTAAGACTGTTATAGAGGAAAGCTATACACTTTATAGGAAGGTGAGTTGTACAATAAGCCAACACTAAGACATGGTAAAACCGAGTTCATATGAACTCCGTTTTCCTTAATAATCCTGTTTGAGCTTGCTGCTTCCTCCAAGTCTAACAGTTAGATCCTTTAAGTATCTGTTGAGTCAGGTTCGGTAACACAAGCCTATGATCCCTACCACTCAGGCTGAGGCAGTATTGCAAGTTTAAGGACAGCCTCAGCAACTTGGTAAGACTGTTTCAAAATAGAAATAAGGGTTGAGGATTTACCTCGTTGGTAGAGCACCCCTGTGTTCAATCCCCAGTCCCCCTCCTCCCAAAACGGGTTGAATAAACCCGAGTCTGGATCTTCCCCTATGCATGGAAGGTCCTGCCTGGGAAACAACTGATAACCCCAGGATCCAGTTCATAAGCCACCAACCAACATAGAGCTCCTTTCCTAGCAGGGCTCCCAAACCAGGTCAGTAGCTCTCCTCTCCTCAGTGCCTTGGCATGTCACGAAAACCGCTACGCAGAACGTACAGCACCAGGTTACGGGAGAGTTCACCGGGCTATCGCCCCCCTATACTGCAAGTCCCAAGAGCGTATTATCATCTGCGTCCCCACTCCTCGCTGGGACGCGGAATACAAAACACGGACACGGTTTTATTAAATGAAAAAAACTAGCGCGATTCACCCCACGTGGGGGGAAAAGGGTGAGATCCTGCGACCCGCGGGGGCCCCAGACGTAGAGAAGCCTCTGGCGACCTGGGAAACTCTCCTGCCGCAGACCAGGCAGCCCAGACCCGGCCTCGCCAGTCCGCGGGAAGGGACCCCCGAGAGTCCGGACAGGAGGACCCCCAGCCCCTCTCCGCGACCTCCCCTCTAAGAAAAAGCGAGTGACAGCGACTAGCGAAATCAGGTGCACGGCCATCGCGCGCCGTCCCGCACGGATATCCGGACTCCAAGCCCGGGAGGAATCCGAGACCCCCGAGGGCGCCAGGTGCGGTCGCCAGGTGGACCGCACACACCGCCCACCCGCTCCTGCTCCCCTCGGATACGTGGCTCGGGCGACGTGGCTCTGCCTGCCAAGCGCCCGCGCTGCACCGGCCGCCGCCGCCTCCGCACAGGGGCAGGGCTCACCTGTACTTCTGTCTCGGGGGGCCACTCGGTGTTGACCAACAAGTCATAGAGGATCGTCTCCTCCTCGCCCTCTGAAGTGCCGGGACTCAAAGCCAGCCCTGACTCGGGGGCCGCCATGTTCGCCCCGGACTGAGCAGCCGAGGGAGTGGCGCTACGGCGTCCCACGCTGGACAAGCTTCCCCGGCTGCGGCCGCTTTTAATTCTCCGGGATGAAGAGAGAAAAGTGAAAGGAACTGGCCACCAAAAGAAAATGCTGTTAGGTATGACAATGACCATTGCGTTTGGAGTAGGACTTGGGTCCTGATCCCCTCGTTATTTCTGCGTGAGAAGGGCCAAGCCATTGAATCTTTCCTGTAAAACAGAAAAGCTTCTGTAAAAACAAAAAAAGTATTTTCGAATTTCTGGTGTTAATTTAGGTTTGATGGAACCCACGGTTTTTAAGTGGGTAAACGCCAAAACAAAAATTACCCGAATCAAAACGTTGAGCTAAAGATAGGCATCAGAAGCTTAAGAAAAGCAGTGAGGGTCAGAGGGTTTGCAGGAGCTTCCAGGAGCAGGCGGTGTTCGCCCTGGGTCTTTATAGGTAAATTTGAATCCCGCGGAGGTGGTCTGAGAGAGGCACTTCAATGAGGGGGAAATGGAGTGAGCAAAAGAAAAGAGCAGACAGACTGAACAAAACTTGAGAAAGGGTGTGAAGAGCATCAGTGATGTAATAGCAAACTGAGGACCAGACTCGTTTGTATACTCAACAAGTACCTCCACGTAGAAACACCTGTACTGTAAGCAGAACCTATTTTAATTTGAACGAATATGCAGTGCACGAAGTATTAGCACTGTGTCACATTCAAAACAAGCACAACTTACCAAGATCTCTTGAGGATTACATTGTATAAAGTCTATCAAGATAGATTAGGCAGTGATGCAATTAAAATCCACTACCAGGAAGCCTCTAATGGCTCCCATTTCTCTCAAAGTTAAATGACCTCAAAGCCCTATGTCATCTACTTGGCTTCCCTTAGTTTCTGGCTTCCCTTAGTTTCATACCTCATCTGCTGCCCTCACTACCTTCAAACTCGCTGACTTTGCCGGTTCAGAGTCACCAGACACAATCTTCCTTGGCTGCTCCCACTGGTTGGAGGTTTACTATCTGCTATTTGCCTGGCTCTCATTGCCCTCAAGTTTTTGTTCAAACGTCACCTTCTTTCTGAAGTCTACACCGACTGCTCATTTTTAATTTTGTAATCCCCTTCCCAACTCCATCTGTCCAGATCCCCCACTTTGCCAGCTCTGTTTTTCTCTCCTTAACACTTGGCATCATCTGAAGTGCTCTGCAGTTTATTTATTAGCGTTGTGTATTAGCTATCCCCATTCTTTAAAGTGGAAGCTCAGCCATGGCACAGTGCTCCACCTATATACATAACAGATTCAATACACATCCCTGCTATATCCTCAGCATCTATAACAGTGCCCAGCACAGAGCACTGTGGAGAAAAATGTTATTTGAATAAATGAATGATTTCCCCAAATAAAAAAAAAATTAAGAGGCAGGGTCTCCCTATGTTGCCCAGGCTGACCTCAAATTGCTGGTGTCAAGAAATCCTCCTTCCTTAGCCCTCCCAGTAATAGACTACAAGCCTATGCCACCACACTAGGCTTTTCAAGTCAAGTATTTTTCACAGCAGCTGTGTCTTTTCATCAAGCCTCTCATTGCAAACACCAGCGTCTCCTCTCCCTTCCTCACTCAGCAAGCTGCACACCTGCAGAGAGCACATCTCACATTGCATGCTGTAGAGGAGGCAGCAGGAACACCATTCCCAGGGATAGGCAGTGTGAGGGTGGTGGCTGTAATCTTACAGTGCCTCAACAGCCCCACGCTCTTCAGTGCATCAAGGTTCCTTTACCCCTCACCCTTCCTTATCTAGTCTGACAGATATTGGGATTGCTTTCTGCATCATCCATTCTCTTCACCCAATCACACAGCAACAGATAGGAGGTAGCTGGTCAAACTGGCAAAGGATGCATGCTTCTTAGTTGGAATGCGAATGAGACTGAAAATACATCACTAAGAATTTTTTTTCCTTTTAGCGTCATTATATTTACGGCTCTGTTCCCACCCTCACCCTATTTGCCACAATTTGTACAGTAGAAGGGAAAACAGAAGAGCATGCCTAGCTGAACCCCGAGAGCTTCTGTCATAAAGAAGACAGTTTCTCTGGCTAAAACCACTCTTCAGAGAGTGTACATATATAGCTGTAGAAATTCCCAGAAGGAACATTCTGCTGCCAGAGATGCACTGAGCAGATGGACAGGTGGTTAAGCCTTCACTACTTAAAATCCCCAAGAGTTCCTGGAACGGGGAGAAGGAGTTGACCAGTCAAAAGGAAACAGGGATAAGAATGTATGGGTCATAAGAAAAGCACCCAATGTCGGTATCAGACCCTGGAATTGGAAAAGAAAAGGCAGGTAATCAAAGTTCAGAAGAGTCAAAGCAACAGGCTGAAGCCAAGTTGCTAACTGGTCTTATTTATGGTGACTATGTAGTTAGTTGCTCAAACAGGACACTTTTGAGACTAGAAAGTATGCTAGTAGCTGGTAGGAGAACAGGCATAAAGCAGCTGTCATAGGTACAGAGATAATGGTCACACCAATCTGAAACGACAGAGTGGTTAGTTTAATAAGACATTGAGCATTTCAGAAGGATAGAGAGACTTCTAATCCTCCTTGCCTCCCTCACCTTTGTAATAACAGCTATTGTTTTTGTCTACCCAATACTTTTGCTTCATTTGGAACACTGTTCCAACTGTTCTTCCTTTTCTCAAGTCATTGACTTCTGGGGGGGCCACCTGTCCCCAAACTCTGCCTCTTTGATACAAAGGACTCCACCCCTCTTATTTCAAGCACTGAATTTAGAATATTTACCTGGGGTTTCTTCTAATAATTAAAGGAGAGGAAAAGAATCCTTGATTTGGGGGATCACTCTATCATCTTTTCTTGGTGAGACAGAATACCTGGAAAAAAAAAAAAAAAAACACTTTAAGGAAGAAAAGCGCACTTGGGCTCACAGTTCCAGAGGTCTCAACCCTTAGTTGCTTGGTGGCCTGGCTACAGCTTAGTAGCAAGATACATAATCGCGTGAGGCCAGTGTGAGAAAGAAGAGCTCCGCTGCCGTCAGCTGCCAAGAAGAGAGAGAAGGAACTGCCTGTGGTGGGCCAGATATACTCTTGTAAGTCACGCCCCCTCCCCAATCATGCCATCTGGGGACCAAGCGTGTAGCACGTGAGCCTCTGGGCTCAACAATCATAGAGATTGCAGAATACAAATTGAGGATTGTGAGCAGCTGTCTTATTTACCACTTAGAGAACCTGCACAATGAGGGAATGAAATCAACAAGTTAAGACAATTAGAGAAACTTCATTTGACAAAAACACGTCTGAGAGAAGCGACACCTGAGTGTTTCCATCTTCCCGGGTGAGGAATCAAGTGCAAGACTTTTTATGCTTATGTTCCTTTGAGTTGAGTTTCTGTGCATCAGTACCATCCCTCTCTTATGTTTCTACAGTGGGTTTTGCAGATTTGCCTAACTTCAAATCTGTATGTAGGATATGGATCACGACAGTGTTACTTCCAAATTGACAGATAACAATATCTGTATGGTATTCATTGTGTGCAGAGAGGACTTTCATCCTCACAGGAGCTGCTGAGAGGAAAAGACAGAAACTTGGAATTGAACTTGGATCCCTCCCCATTCACAGACAAAGAAATGGAAGCGTAGAGAAGTCTATGATCACAGCAGAGCTCAAAACTCAAACACAGTTCTTCAGGTTCGGGTCTGTGCTCCTTTCTTCATAAGGTAGCACATCACAGAGAATTGTGCAGCAAAAGGTTATTAAATAATTCAGATGGAGCACTTAGAGGGTTGAAATAGGAAGCAAATAGTTACACGTGGCGGTACTACCAATCTGTTCCATCAGGAAACCTCAATATGTGATAGGTAGAATTTACTTATACAATCTCGTGGTCATCTAATCAGTCTCTTATTTAAGTGGAAAGTCCTTCTGCTGTGGTTTGAATGTGTCTCCCTAAAATGTACATGTTGAAAAAAAATCTGCAGTGTGGTAGTATTAAAAAGTACAGTTGGGGGAGGCAACTAGTGTCCTTACACAAAGGGACTGAGGGAGCTTGTTCCTTCCTCCCACCATTTGAGGACGTAGTGAGAAGGTGCCATCTGTGAGGAACAGGGCCCTCGCCGGATACCAAACCATTTGGAACTTTGGTCTTGGATTTCCCACCTCAAGAACTGTCATCAATAAAGTTCTGTTGTGTGTAAGTTACCCAATCTAAGGGATTTTGTTGATAGCTACCCTAAGGACTAAGAACGCATCTCTGGTTTGAAGTTACTTTAAATCAGGAGTAAGTCACTTTAAAAAGGAAGATTATGTTTTCCCAAATGCCAATGTGAACAGTAACTGCAAAGTGCTTAAGGCAATAAACACTGAGATAGGCATCGTCATCTTCCTAACTGCATCATGACGGCCACCTCAGCATTTAACCCTCTATGCTTCTGCTCCAAGCACTATGCCAAGTACTATTTTATGCCTTTGTTCCTTTCTACAACACGATTCCTCGCCCAGGAAGATGGAAACACTCAGGTGTCGCTTCTCTCAGACGTGTTTTTGTCAAATGAAGTTTCTCTAATTCTCTTAACGTGTTGGTTTCATTCCCTCATTATGCAGGTTCTCTAGGTGGTAAATAAGACAGCTGCTCGCAATCCTCAATTTGTATTCTGCAATCTCTGTGATTGTTGGGATCTGGACCATACCCCAGAGGCTCACGTGTTACACGCTTGGTCCCCAGATGGCGTGATTGGGGAGGGTTGCTGGGGGCGTGACTTATATCTGATCCACCATAGATATAGATATAGATATGTAGATATATAAATATGTAGGTATGTAGACAGATAGATAGAGATATGGATAAAGAGAAAGAGAGAGAGAGAAAGAGAGAGATTAGGAACCCAAGGTTCTGAATCAGTATGACCCAACCAAGGTCACATGCTGGTAATGGTAAAGCTGTAACTGCAACACATTTTTTTGTCTAATGTTCAAATTATTAATAGA